GACAGAACGGTGTAATGACCACATCAGTCACCAGTAATTGGAGTCCGGTCCATAAAGGCCAGTGATTACAACAGAAAAGGTTTTAATACTTCATGATGACAGGAAACCTTGAAGAGTAATCACTTGAATGGGCCTCTGACAGAGGATCTGTGCACTAGGATCACAGTGGCTCATTTCTGAGCAAATCTCTTCAAGTGCAGTCTTACAGCATTTATGTTATGTTTCTGTCTTTTCAACACAGCAGAGTGAAGTTGGATACAGAGGCTGGTTTTTCTGCTTTTGGTAGGTTAGAAGGAGATGGCTGATGATTACCTAGTGAGGCATAGGACCCTGGGGGAAGAGCAGCCGCAGAACTGAACGGTGAGGAGGCAGGAACAGTGGACAAACGTGACTTAGCGCTGGAGGCGGCATTTACATCAATGTCGCTACGGGAACGCTGGAGAGAACCCGGTGTTGTAGGCACCCTGGTGCTCACCAGCTTACCTGGAACCGCACAGAGGTGACAAGAAAGGCAGTTAAGGGCCTGATGAATTTAATAAAATCTATTTCTTAGCTTTTTACTTTTCACTTCCACCAAGACCCAGCTTTTAATGCCACTACCATCAAACAGCTAAACCCATTACTTTGGCACATGTACTGTACATTTGTACAGCTATGTATACATGTACATGTGCACATACAGTAAGTGCCATGTTCTTACTCTTATTATTATTGTTTTAAATAATTCTTCTTGCCTTTTTTATTGCTATACCATGAATTTCCCAGTATTGTCGTATCTCATCTTAACCACTAAGCTATAGCTCAGTCCTGTTGGGGACAGTAAGGATACATGGGAACTTGAAGCTGCATACCAACTAATTTCTCCCTTCTAACTTCACCACCCTACTGTCTATCTGTATAAACTACAGTGTACCTGCACCAAGGGACTAAACAATAAGAGACTTGGAGAGTGGCTTACTCCTTGTCATGCTCCCTCCTATGAGGCTCTTCACAGACAATGGCCGGCTGAAAAAGAGAGAAACAAGACATAATTTAGAATTTTGTATATCACATTCCTATAGCTAAGCATTAAAACAATTACTGTAATATAGAATCATTTACATTTATGTAAAATTTAAATTAAATGCTAACCCGAACCCTTAAAAACAACGTTTTAACCCTCAACCGGTCCTTTGAAGCTGTGAGGACCGGCTACAATGTCTTCACAACAATGGCATCGAGCAAAAATGTGTCCACACCATGCAATAAATACATGTACACACACGTGCACACACAGTTTAGGGTGGATGTACTGAGCATGAGGTCATTAGACAACGCGTTCCATAGGGGACCTATAAACTGGGTAAATGACAGCAATAGATCTAAGACTGTGTGTGTGCTTGTGTGTCAGTGAGCTACCCGTCTGCTGCCCAACTGACAATAATTACCAGTGTTTCTATGACCATATTCAATATGACAGATGCATTAGTGGTTTACCAAAAAATCTATAGTTCTTTTAGAGTATGCCTCAACATGAGAGAAAAATGTGGAAGTCAGGAGACAGCAAAGTAGAAACTGTAGTGGGCGAGAGTGTAATGGAAGGAGGAGGAATTTCAGGTGCAAGTAAAACAGAAGAGTAAAGATGGAGCAAAAGGAATAGGAATGGGAACCTAGCATGGGAAAGGGTGCAGACAAAAAGCACTATAAGGGTCTTAGTTCTTACTTAAGACTTTCCTGAGAAGACGACGAGGAGCGGTCAGACTGGGGTAGAGACACAATGCTGTCAGAGCTCTTCAGGTGAGACTGGAGGGCCTTCTGATAGGTGGACTCCAGCGCTTGGAACAGATGCTCTGCCTCTCGACTGTAGTGACCATGGAAACCCCAGTAACACCTATAGGTGAGCAGGAGATGAGATGTAGACAAATTCCACACCTTAGTCAGAATGTATATATACGTGTTGTTCACATTTTCTCAAAATGTTCACCACCCCCAAATGACACCTACTTTCTTGCGATGGATCTGGCCTCAGAGTCAGCATCATGTATGCCTTTCTTGATGGTCTCAGTCAGAACAGCCACGTGTCTGGGATAGTAAGGGAACATGGTGAGGAGGGAACACGTACACAACTTCACGTAAAGCTAAAACCAGGAAGTCTAGGCACATTACTTCTGTGAACTCAAAATGCTAAAGATCAAAATCTGCCAGAGCATTTCTTTCCTCTATGTCCTTTTCTGCCTCTTGTGGCTCCCCACAAGGATTTTCACCTGTTTTATTAGAGTCTTGGCAGCAGTTGTCATGGTTACAGAGATAGAAAGTTGTCTTATCACTGGGGGTCTTGATGATGATGGCTCTCACAGGTCTCATCAATTTAATGGGCCTCATCTGTGGTGCAGCCAGCCAGTGCTTAGCTAACTCAAGCGTTAGCAAATTCAATAACCGTGTGAGAGGAGGCAGTAGAACAAGAAGCCTCTGGTACACTTCAATACCCACACATACATACATAAAACTGCCTTACCCATTTGACACACAACACATGCACATTTCCCAAGTTTCTGAGGAAACAGCAGATACTTTTCTACGACTCAAGAGGTGTAACTCACCTTTCCAGTGTATTAGTCTGCCACTCTTGTAACATAAGGTCTAGGAACTCATAGCAGCGTCTGGAATGAGGACAACGGTAAGCACTGCTCTAGTGTGCAACACCCTGATATTACATACTTAACATAGGAACAAAAACTCTATATAGAAAGAGTTACTAAGAGCTTTGTAAACAAAAGTCACAAAATAAAAAAAACATACAAGATATGAAATGTCAGTCAATTAAATGACAAGTGACACAAGCAATATAGAAGGAAATCATAATCTGTGATTTGAGGGGAAAAGACTGAACTGTTTCTTAACTAAGACATGAATATTAAATAGTGAAAGCTAAATAGTGTACACTGTAAATACTTCATTTTGGAAATATGATAAATATGAAAGTGTAAAAACAAAAATCCTGTGACGACCAACAGTAACTGCATGAACATAGAGTATGTCCCATTTTCATTTAGCAGCAGTGTTAAGGTCCTCTTACCGTCTGACTGCTACTGATTTGGAGGTGCAGTTGCTGGTGATGATGGGGATAAGTCGCGGGTAGTGTGTGTGCTGAGGAGAAAGACAAACATGGAGTTTAATTCAAAAAGTACAAAAGTAAGGATTCATTATTTCTTGATAGTTATTTCACTATTCTCACATGACGTGGTCTGGTGCTATAAATTATATTGTAAATGTGAATTACATTTAAAAAGGAGGCCTGAGAAACCACCTTAGCCCTCCCCTACAGATCTCCTACCCTGAGGATGAGGCGGATGGCAGCCACTCCAGACGTGGCCATGACTTTGGCACTGTTGGGCACCAAGTTCAGCAGTGTGGGCATGACACTCTCTGCTCCATGGTCAAACTTGTTACCCAGGATCGATGACAAATGACTGACAGAGGGAGAAGGTCCAAGTTATTTTCTCCAACAGACATAAAAAGCTAGTCTCATATTATCTTGTTGGCAGTTGTCTCTTCTGGGAAAGAATCCTTCAAAAGGCAGCAGCATTCTTGGCTCTGTGCACTTACTAGGAAGTCAACATCAATGACACGCTCAGATTCTGATGATGTTAAATATTTAATGCAGATGAAAAAAGCCTCCCATGCACACTATACTCTTACACATTGTTTGACACTTTCACTGACCTAGCACAATGACAGTAAGGACATCTGAAAATACAGACAACAGACTATGTACTTAGCTATGAAACATTACTGTGAACATACTGTGCACAGGGTGCTTAAGTGGGCCTAAAACCACAATGTACTGTGCTTAAGTGGGCCTAAAACCACAATGTAATGTCTCAGCCCTTAAATCTACATCACTACATCATCTTACCCCAGTGTGATGCAGGTCTCACGGACCACCTGAGAGCGCAGGTCTTTAGCTGACAGTTTAAAGGCAGCCTCCAGGAGACGCAGCTGCTGAGGGAAGCCCTCGTAGTCAGCGACCCCAGCCAGCATGAGTGAGCGCACTTTCTTCAGCTGGAAAGAAGAAAGAAGGGTGGAAGAATAAGACATTATGACTAAATTCATGCTGTACCCATGTACATGTGTATGACAGTATAACTTCAGTTTCTTTCTTACTGCTACCACTCGGTGCTCCCAGTCATGTTTGTCATCAGATAGCACTTCTCTGATCTTGGTCAGCTGGTCCTCTAACTCTCTGTTAGAGTAGATCTGGACACAGACAGCACATGAAGGAAGACTTATTATCTTTACTTATTTGTGTTGAGGCTGCAGAGATATAATGTTTCCTTGGTTTGTATTTTCTGTTCACCCATGGCTGCTTTAATCACATCCACATCTCACTGGTTGCAAGCGAGAGCACACGTCTTGACTGCTCCTCTTGTCTGTTCTACGATTTTTCACATTTTCTACATTTTCAAGTCTTTGAACAAATTCTACAACTATTAAAATGCCTCCAAGAGGGAAAAGAGCTAATAAATCAGAAGCGAATGAGGATGTTGAAGCAGAAGAGGATTATATTTCAGCGGCCCAAGTAACAGAGATGTTGAGTCAGCAGAAGCAGATGTACACCTCACTGTTGAGCCAACAACAAGACAACTTCAAAGGTTTTGTGCAACTACTTATGGAGACAAATAAGAGACACGACGACATGATCAAAGAAATACAGGAGATAAAAACGAGTTTGCAGTTTACCCAGCGAGATGTGGATGTGATTAAAGCAGCCATGGGTGAACAGAAAATACAAACCAAGGAAACAAGGGATGATGTCTACAGAACCTGTGAGAGTTTAATAGCCATAATGGATAAAATGGAGCATTTGGAAGTACAGTCAAAGTGGAAAAAACCTGATCTTTGAGGGAATCAAGGAGTCAGCTGGAGAAAGCTGGACGGATGCGGAGTGTAAGGTGAAGGAAATATTAAAGGATAAACTGGATTACACCGAGTCTGTGAGGAAGAGAAGAAGGGAGTTGATGCCGAGGTTAAGGGAGGCCAGGGCGAGGGGAGACATCACGTTCCTGCGGTATAACTGACTAGTGACCCGACCTCAGAACCAGAATCCAGGACCTAGGACCAGTATGCCGAGACAAGGAGAGTATGAAGGGGTCTCTGGACCCTCAGCTGTATGAAGAAACACGCAGGTATATTGATATCTGCGATGGCAGATGAGCGTTGGAACCAACAATTAGCAGGAACCAACAACAAGTATGACCCACGTACGGAATGAGGCAAGTGATTTGCTACAGAGGTTAATAGTTTTTGAGGGATTGGATCTGGAACTGAACACAATTGGAGACACTGAACAACATTATCATGAATCGGACGATGACTTTGACCTTGAAAAAAACTTTTTTAAGAACTTTGAAAATAACTGCAAGTATTACAC